TATACAGTTGTAAATTCCATTAAATAAACAAAAAAAAAAAAAAAAATATTTTTAAATTTTGAGGTGTTCGTAAAACTACCAATTCTTAGGAAGATAATTAAATAAAAGTACTTAATCTGTCGGTGATAGTTAATTAACAACTTATGTTAATAGTTAATTGAATTTAAGATAGTTGAAGCTAAGATAATTAATTGAAAAAATGAATAAAATAAAGTTATCATGTTTTCTACTTGACTTAATTACAAAATTTTCCTTACCTAGTGGTGGCCTACCAGGCGTGAGCGAAGGCCCGGGAGAGATCTGTTATGAAGGTTGTGGGTTTGATTCACACCTGGGTCAGTTAATATTAATTTCTTTGTTGACACACTTCTCTACTCTGGTAAGTACGCAACGAAGACCTTTAATAATTCACTATAATTTGCAGCGTTTTTCTGGATTTAAATTTTAGAAATACCTCTAATTTATGTAAATAATATTTCAATATAATTTTGAGAAGGATATTACCTCAATGAATATAGGATAAAATTGATTAATATTTGTTTTTAAAGCGTTCCATCAGTGAAGTTACTTCGAACAGGTGGCCTAATAAATAATCGCCTTTAAATAAAAATAGACAGTGTAGCCAGAGTGTTAATCATTTATGGAAATGGCAACCCTGTTTAAGGTTCTGGCTGACAGTTGGTAATTTACCGCGGAACTTGATTAAAGTTTCCCTCCCAGGGTGGTAGCGTTGGCTAGTTGGAGCAGCCCTCTTTAATGGTTTAATCTCTTTAATTTCCAAATTCATTACTGCGATGGAAGTTTTAATTTGAAACTGATTTGGGGATTTAATTTCTCACCAACCTTGACAAAGATTTATTGTATCGATAAATTAGTAATTCTGTGAAAAAAGGGTGACATTTGTTCCTTTTTATAGTGATTGTTCATTTTTCTATTATGATCAGTTTCAATTATTGAGTAAGTTTATATTAGAAGAATAGATATAATATAGTTGGATATCGCCGCTTACAAGTGAAGGTTATGGATGTTGAGTTACCGAAATCAATGAAACTTTTTTTAGTGATACTAGGTCAAAAAGTATTATTCCCATATCCGAAGGTTCTTACCTTAGGTGGCAAGAAAATTTATTTAATGTAATTTGAAACAAAATTTATTTTAATTTTTGCTTTTGTTTTGCTCGGATTTTTCATTCATTTATTGCTGGATTCTACAGTCCTTAAAGAACCATGGCTTTTACTAACGCCTTCTCCACAAATCTCTGTCAGCATCGAAGCGCCTCCACAGCTTTACACCCATCTCTTTCATGTCACCCTCCACTTCGTCCAACTATCTGAGCCGCGGCTTTCCACGCCTTCTTCCATCTCTCGGCTTTCTATAGAGAAGTTTTTTTGGACATTCTTGTGGGGTCTATTATTTCCGTATGCCCCAACCATCGCAATCTGTTGAGTTGAATGACTTTAACAATGTCATGTTCACCATAAAGCTCACTTAGCTCTAGGTTAGACCTAATTCTCCACTTTAATTGGCCTATACATTTTCCGGAGTACTTGCCATTCCCATACATGGAGCAGCATTTTGCTTTCTTCAGTCATGAACCATGCCATGCTCACATATGCCACAACAGGTCTTAGAATCGTTTTATACATTATAGTTTTTATTCTTCTTGACATATATTTGCAATTCAGCAGCTTCTGTACAATATACAGACATCGATTAACTGCAACTATACGGGTTTTGATATCTTTTCCTACTTGGTTCTTGCGGGTGATCGTACTACCGAGGTACTTAAATTCGTTACAGCTCAGGAATCTCCAGTTTCCTATTCTCATTTTCTCTCCCGTCAACCGGTCTCTTCTTGAGGTCTTCATTTACATGCTCTTGCCTGTAATTAATTTCTTGATCTAGTTCTTCAGGTTCCGGATCAATCAGGAATTATTCATTGCTCGGATTTTCATCTTATTATATACCGTTAGAGAGAAACCTGGGGCCTATAGGCCTCCGTGATCTAGCTGCAGCCTCCAAACGGTTTTGTGCAATATTTATTAATCTAGTGCTAGAATTAATTAATATTTAAAATAAGTTTAAATTAATTAATTAAAAAAAAATCTAAAATTAACATCTAATCATTTAAGTTTGAAAATTAATGGAATTAACTTGAATAAATATACATTTGTTGTGATATATATATATATATATTATTCATTAGCATTAAAAAAAATTCAGAACAATATCTTGTGCTGTAAAAAAGCTGGAAATAAGAGGTTTCGATTTGAGGAATGAAATATATTTGTTTATAAATGATGTGGGTAATCAAAGAGAACCATACTCATAGCAATGCTAAAGGATAATGTTATGTTTGAAAAGATTAATGATAAGTATTTCTTCTTAGTACTCTCGTTTGCCAAAATTTTGGAGATCATGTCTCGTTTTTCGAGTACCCTAAGAACACTTCTTGATACTAATTAATTTCATTTATTGTTTAAAGGGAACCTGATAAATTGAGGTACCTGTAACTTTATAAAAAGGGCAATTTAAGTGGACACTTTTCTCCGAATTGGTTCGTGCCAGCTTTGTCTAAGGTCTTCCTAACGAGTTCCATGGCACGACTCTTCAAAGAAAGACAATTAGAACCATCTTTTGTGTTTCTTCTCCACACCTTCTGCTGCTCCTTAAAGTAACAAGCCCTTTCTACGCTGTTTATTTGATATTTCACAATAATATTACATGTTGGTTTTTTTATTATTTTTTTTATATATGAAATGATTTCTAATATCAATTTGAGTTAAAATTAATGAGTTAAGTTAAAATTAATGTATAAACCATTTAAAGTTTCATTTCTGACTAACTTTCAGACCATCCCCACCCTTCAATATTATAATTAATTATGTAGTTTCAGAGTTTGGTAAAAAATTTATGAAATTAGAGTTTATTTTACTTTTTGTTTTGTTATACACCACATTTTGGATTCATTTTTACAAAATTTCAATAGTTGGAATTTTGAGCTCACCTACAAACCGTTTGAACTTAATCAACTTGACTATCTATGATTGTGACTATTCCGTGGATTGGACTATTTTATGATCATTCCTTAGATCATTCCTACCGTATCCATTCCTTACAATATAAAATCCTCAATGGTACCTACTTTATCAGTTATAAAACTGAGAATCACGACCTTAATTACTTTCTTACTTTACTTAATTAATTTCTTCATATGTTGCAATATATGTTGATATCCCATGTCGGATGGTACCGTGGTAAATGAATAAAGTCTGGACAGATAAATAAGGTTCTCTCTAAAATTATTGTAGAATTTCATTTTACGCACTATAAGAACCGAATACAAAAGCAACTTTGAGCCTAATAATTTTATGTAATCATTTCAAGGTATACTTGAGGATCATTTTAAAGACATTTTAATTTTTCTTGCTATATCATGCGTTGAATTTCCTTCCAAGATGAGAATACATAAATGAAATTAATTATTGACATAGTGTGGATGTGCTCTCTGTACACTATTATAAATGTCCTTAATTGTGAAAGATTGTAATATTTCTCATTAAATAAGTTTAAAAAAAAAAGTGATTGATATAACAGGCGCCAGCTTCAATGATCTTTTGGTAAAGGAATTCCGCATTATGATTTTTTTCCCTTAAAAAAGCTGCATAGTTGAGCAACTTTTCAAACAAATATTATTTCACACAGTTCATTCATAATTTTGACCGAATACCATAACATACTTTAAAATATTATGAATCAGTTTTGGTAACATTGTTTTTATACATTAAATTCTCGGAGTTGAAGTAGTTTTAGTGTATATTTTTAATGCAGTTTGTAAATCTGTGCTCAGAAGTTTGTTATTAGTGGTAATTTGTTAGAACATATCTAATCAATCATTACCATTAATACAAAATCAATCATATTTTCAGTTCATAAGAATAATTTATTGCTGAATATCATTATTTTTTTCTCTTCTTTTCTACTACAGTCTTCACTAATTTAATTGTCCTCATCTATTCATTATAACGCTTAATTTGTTTAATCCTGCATTATTCATTGTGAAATTATTAAAAAAATTGAACGTAAGGCTCATGGACTATCACCAGGGAGATGGCAGGTACCGTCACTGTTGTTCAACTTAGTCCTAGAAAAGGTAATAAGAACAACATCACAAAATATCGGAGGAGTTCGCGTCGGAACGAATCATAATATCCTTTGGTACGCAGATGGTATAGCTTTCCTTGATACTGTCAAGAGAACATTGAGAAACTCGCTAAGACTCTGATAAGAGAGGCAGAACAGATCGGGCTACAGGTAAATGAAGACTAAACAAAATACATGGCATTAGGCCAAAAATTCCATCCCAATAACACGACCTGTTTAGAAGAAAAATCATTCCCGAGAGTAGAAAAATTCTAATACCTCGGCTTCACAATAACTAAATGAATTGCCCACGGTCAGAAATAGACCAGCATAAATATAGCGCAATCTTTTCCCTTTCAAACCTATTGAAATCCCGAAAAATCTCAAATTATGGGTCAACAATCCAATGGATAAAACCTCTAATATATGGCTCTGGGAATTGGACGTTAACCAGCAGTCTAGAAAAAAGGTTGAAAGATTTGATAGAAAAATCCTCCGCACAATAACTGGAGCGATCTGGGATCAGAGGAAGTACAACACATGGAGAAGAATGACCAATAAAGAACTTCTTACGGAAACTAGTAAATCAATATACCATGACATGAAGGGCCGGATGGACGGAGCATGAAGCTCGTAGCAATCCAAGTGTTAAAGCCAGGCTAGGAAAAAAAAAAAAATTGCCTTCAACACAATGTATATATTTATTTTTACTGTTTAGCTCGAATATTAGAATTTTCTTATTAGTAAGAATGAAACTGAGACCTATGGAATTGATGTTAAATAAATCTTAAAAATGAACCAATTATTAAATTAATATTGCAAACATATGTCACATAAATGTATAAAATGAAAATTAAACTTATTGAAAACATGTGCAAAATTGTCTGTTTTCTATAATTATATTAAATTTATTAGTAATGCTTTTCCATGACAAAAAGATCACTGTCTAAAGAACAGTTGTTACCCCTTGTCGTAGGATTCCTCCAAAACAGTCCTGAAGTACGTTCGCCTCAAGAAATCGCAGACTATGTGCTGGCAAATCTGAGAGATACAGTCAGCGCAAGGGTGCGCAGTATCCTGGATGTGGGGACTGCCTTGAGGGCCTTCGTTGAAGTGGATGGTTGCTATGCTGTCTGCGGCCCGCTCCCTATGTTAGATGCTGTAGTTGACAACTGCTTCTGCAGGAGGAGGCGATATTGCAAGCACTATAGCCGCCAAAGGAAGAGGAAGTTAGGAAATTACGAAGAGGTGATAAGGGAAATGTATGAGGAGAGAAGGCTTTATCAATGAGATTCCATTTCCATAGTGATAAATAAAAACTATACTGAAAAACTGAGAATATAACGTTAATATAATATATAGTTTCCTAATATATTTTTATTCAATGATTTACCCCTTCTTTAAGCAATACATATTTTAAGTTTATGTAAATTTAAGATGTACATAACGAAATGATGTCGTGAAGATCTGTGAAACTATAAGCCTTGTTTCACACTTACCCGGCAGCCGGGTAAACGACGCCGTGTACACTGCATTCGGGAGAGAGAGTAATAGGGAGCTTTCACTCTAACCCGATTTTTGTCGATGCCGGTTAACTAACTAGTATCGAGACTGAAACTAATAGGGATCTTTCACACTAGTCCGGCAATTGTCGTTGTCGTTTAAACGACACTTTGCCGTGCTAATGTCGTCCTAATGACAAATGACAACCTTTATTTGCCGGATATACCGCAAGACGACAGTCGTGCTAGTGTTCTGAGTACCCGGCAACGTTTGGACGACTGCCGGTGTCGTGCAAATCATAGGTTAGGTTTTCACTGCTCTTATCAGTGCAGTACAAATCTAACCTATATATACTGCGATAAAACGAATAGGTATATTGTTCGCTGTGTGTGAATTATTTTCCATCGGATGTTTAATTTATTTTAATAATAAATTACATTGAAAATTAATATAAATAAGATTGTATTTGTCCTCCGGAAATTTTATTAAAGCTGCTTTTAAAAAATAATAAAATTAAAGGTTTATGTGATCTTGACTTTATGATATCAAATTGTAAATATTTTGGAAATTTGATAATCGGTGTAATAACCTATGTTACGCACTAATTCTCTGCACCTATTGTTTATAATATTGTCACTGATTTCACAAGAAATTTCATCCCATATACATAGCAATACTGCTTTCAGTTGCTGAAAATTAAGAAAGCACAAACTGTGGCAGTGCACTCATACCCGGTTCTCAGTAGAAAATGAAGCATCTAAGACCACTATACAATAATATAATATAATAAAGAAATGCGACTTGTTTGTAAACATTGCAGCATTCCAATTTGTATCGTCATCTAGGAATATGCTGCACCATAGTCTGTACAGTTGTCGACGATCCACTGTTGCTGCTTGCCATTTTAAAGGGGCAGTAGATATTAGATAAACTTCCCACAAAAAATTGAGAACGATTTGTGTTGGTATGGGGCTAGACAGAACATTCGACACTTCATTTAGACTCTATTGGAGACTGTGAAAAGGTTTGGTTCTTGCAGTAATACCAATATTTCTACCATCCCTTGAAGATTAATGTACTAAGATCCTCATACACTAAAAGGTATCCAATTAATACTTCGGGTTTTTATGAATCTGGTTAAAGCTCGGTATGGGAGACGGCAAATACAACGGGGGTATTCACCACCGTATCCACCACCCTTGACAGCTCCTTCTGAGGATAATATTGTGAAGTTATGGTTCAATATGATGTATTTTCTTCATTAAACAGATTATTCTTGTATTAAAATTGAGAAAAGTTGAAAACAACTGTTGGTTTACAAAAAGAGTATTCTTCATGTTAACTATCTTTTATTTAATACTTTATTAAAAATGGAAAATACTTGTTGACTTTTTATGTTTACCAACAGATAAGAGAATCCCTAACGAACAAAAAAAAAAAGTATATTATTATTAAAACAAATGAAATAAGCAACAAATAGAAGTATCCCTATTTATTTTTGCCCATTATATATATATATTTTTTTTTTCTCCACTGCAATAAACCTATTTGGTTATATATAATATATGTTCCCATTTTTCTCGTAGAAAATTTATACGAAAATCACGTGGAAATGGAGGTGTTTACATGAGAGGTGAATGAATCCTAAAATCCTAGCAAAAGTTTCTATATCATTACACCTCCATTTAAATGAAAATTAACCAAACACTTTAATTGGACCTGAAAATGGACAGGAAGAGATATCATTTCTCAATCTATACAACGCACTTTCAAATACCACAGGTAGAAAAAGGTTAAGGTAATTCAGAGTATCATTCCATCACTATGTAATGGTACGAATATGACACTTATCTCATGTTTTCTTTTCCAGAGGGATCGGAAAAAAAAAATGTAAATTAAAATAATAGGAATATTTAGTTCTTGATGAAATAGTTACATACCTACTATAGGCATTAGCCTAGGCAGCTAGTCAATTTTTTTTAATAGATTTTAGTTTATATATTTTATTCACTCTTGTATCTTATTTTTTTTTTTACTTCAAATTATCGGAGGAGGGGAAGATTGGAGGGGGGCGATATTCTTGCCCTCTCAACATTTTTACTGGGAGGGGCGAATGTCCCATTCGCCCATCCCGTAGTCTGCCCCTATGATTGTAACAATTAACAGGTAAATACATAAAACTAACCGTATATTTGTTATATTAAAGATAAATTGAATATCACTCACCGGAATCCGAAGTATGATATGAGTCCGAAGAAGAGAGGAAGTAAGGTGAGAAAGCAGGCTAGGGCTACTGTTTCAATCTCGGAAAAACCTGCAACAAAACAAAGAAAAGATAAATGAAATATAGCATTTATACCATCAGGCCTCCTTTTGGTACGAATAAGGGGACAGCTCAAACACGGTAATTTTGTGGAAACCTCATTTGAAATGGTTGCGAATTTGAATCGTTGGTCAATCAGGTTAGTTGGTGTTGTCGGACATAGCGAATGCGTATTTTCTTGAATTTTCAATTTTTAATGATGAAGATTAGGCCATAAGAACAAAACCTTAAAAAAAAAACCGAACAGTTTTGTTGCATATTTGCAAATATAATTAGCGTTAAAGGCAAACAGTAGGGTATGCCAGCTCCTAACTTATACCAATGGTTATCTTATACTTATCAGCTTATAATAATGGTTCCACCTTTAAAACTTCCACACAAAAAATACCATTCCGTTTTTGCTCAGCTTTTGCAAATAGATGTTTTTGAAGATGGGCAAAGAGATGTTTGATAGCATGATATTTAGCAGTCGTACACGTCACACCTTGCTGGACATAGGTCACACTAGTGTTGCCCAAAATCGGTCTTGGTCTTGCACTTTGCACTTAGACCAAGACCAAGGCTACCTTACTGTTGCAAGACCAAGACCAGGACTGGTAAAAAAAATCGATTTTTTAAATAAAAATTAAGGCAAAATAGTTACTAATATTTGACAATTTTAGTTACTATATGTTAATAATTGGTATAACTAATATAATTTTGCATTTAACTCCTCTAATTTTTCGTTCGGGCTTAGTTAGGTTTCTCCTATCCAAAAAATTGCAGTGATATCTCTATAGTAATAAGCTAATAAGTAACTGCAAGACTGTTCCGAGTCTTGCGCAAGACCAAGACCACGGCCAAGACGGAGTTTGCAAGACCAATACTCCCCTCGGTCTCGCATTTGGCCAACACTAGATCACACCCATTTATTATTATTATGTAAAGCTTATTTGCGTTTTCTATCAATTGAATTCTAGTGCAGCTCAAATGTAAGTGATTTTTTTTCATGCAAGTACCTAAGTGGTTAACCTAATAATCATAATAATTATACTTAAGATATTGACTTCCAAGCTATCGGGAGTCAATATTCTTCCCATGTGCTCATAGTTTCACCCCTACACTCCGCGCTCTGTCAGAATTTGCGAGGATCAGTAGTTCCAGAGGATTGTTAGGGGACAGGGATGGCCGAACGGGCTAACACATGTTATAGTGAGTTTCGCGTCTCGGTGCCGGAGGTAGGGAGAGGCTTTTAACTCTGGTATTAATTGGATTAATACCACCCCGCCATAGCCTCCTGGCCGTGAAAATCCCGTACATCCTAAAAGGCAAGAAAGAGGACGAAAAAAAATCCGTGAAAATTGAAAAGTTACTCAATAACCGTCCAATTATCATTTATTGCACTATTTATAAAAAAAATATTCATCCTATCCAATACTGAACATTGTTGCTACTAGTAAAATATCGAATTTTCGGTACTGATACAATAATGGAACAATATTGAAACTCATATTACTGGAAATTTAATAATGTATATTACGACACGTAATTAAGAATTTGAAAATTATAATGTTCTCTGGAAGAATATTATACAGCGTTCATGATCTATAAATATTCTTCATAAAAACAATTCTAACCATCCATGCCTGACTGAAAGAGCTTTATTTTGGATGGCATCAATTAGGCATTCATGGATATTTTTTCTGATGATCAAATCCGTTTTGTCTTGACCAATATTATAGGCGATACTCAACTTCATTACATTGCCAAGTTGTTGTTATTAGAGGAACTTTCCTCGCTCTTGAAAAACCAAACAATGACTTCCGAATCTCCATTATAGTAAAAGTTGGTTGATCATCTTCAATATCGGTAGGAAGTTTCTCCTTCAAGTTTGACCGACTTTGATGATTTCTGAATGTTGGAGGGCCGCTTTGATATGCATAACGTTTTTGTGAAGCTCAAGGATGCTTGGATCAAGCCCTTGTAACAGGACAACTTTCTATAAAGCTCTTATAAGATTTAAGTCCATCCCGACCCCATCTATATCGATCATTAGTGAGTTTATAAATGTTTAGATTTATATTCTTTCAAAACTAAATTCACTACGATATATACGAAATAATAGTAAATGTTCTGATTAAGAAACGTATGATATGAAAATGCTTCTTGAAAAAGTGATATATTGCCACGAGGAATAAAGGAGCCTTTTTTGTTAATGAAATTATCAGTACAGATTTGATTATATGTTATCAAGGAAGCTGTTTTTTTTATAAAGCTCATTATATATTAGGGATTTATATACTACGACTATCGGGCACCACCTGCCCTGCTATTTTTTTTTATTACATTATATAATTTACAATGAAAATAAATCATACGTATTATTATGGCATTAACAAATTAATCTCATATTTTAAGTACTAACTAAGAAACTGACAACTGATATAAATAATTAAAGTAAATATTGTGTGTAAAATTAATGCGATATATATGTTGGTATGATCACGGCCTAAG